TCTCAAATACACAACCTAATGCTACACCTAAATGAGCTGGAGAAAGAAAAGCAAATAAAGCCTAAGCCCAGCAGGAGAAGAGAAATAATAAAGATCAGAGCAGAAATCAATGAAATAGAAACCAAAAGAACAGTAGAACAGATCAACGAAACTAGGAGCTGGTTCTTTGAAAGAATTAATAAGATTGATACCCCCCTGGCCAGACTTATGAAAAAGAAAAGGGAAAGGACCCAAATAAATAAAATCATGAATGAAGGAGGAGAGATCACAACCAACACCAAAGAAATACAAACAATCATAAGAGCATATTGTGCACAACTATATGCCAGCAAATTAGACAATCTGGAAGAAATGGATGCATCCCTAGAGATGTATAACTTACCAAAACTGAACCAGGAAGAAGTAGAACACCTGAACAGACCCATAACCACTAAGGAAATTAAAGCAGTAATCAAAAATCTCCCAACAAACAAGAGCCCAGGGCCAGATGGCTTCCCATGGGAATTCTACCAAACATTTAAAGAAAATTAATACCTATTCCTCTGAAACTGTTCTAAAAAATAGAAATGGAAGGAAAACTTCCAAACTCATTTTATGAGGCCAGCATTACCTTGATCCCAAAACCAAAGACCTCATCCAAAAGGAGAACTACAGACCAATATCCCTGATGAATATGGATGCAAAAATTCTCACCAAAATACTACCCAGTAGGATCCAACAGTACATTAAGAGGATTATTCACCCCAACCAAGTGGGAATTATTCCTGGACTGCAAGGTCGGTTCAACATCCACAAATCAATCAATGTGATACAATACATTAATAAAAGAAAGAACAAGAACCATATGATCCTCTCAATAGATACAGAAAAAGCATTTGACAAAGTAAAGCATTCTTTCTTGATTAAAACTCTTCAGAGTGTAGGGATAGAGGGTACATACCTCAATATCATAAAAGCCATCTATGAAAAACCCACGGGGAATATCATTTTCAATGGGTAAAAACAGAGCTTTTCCACTAAGGTCAGGAACATGGCAGGGAGGTCCACTATCACCACTGCTGTTCAACATAGTACTAGAAGTCCTAGCCTTAGCAGTCAGACAAAAAAAGAAATAAAAGGCAGCTGAATTGGCAAAGAAGAAGTCAAACATTCACTCTTTGCAGATGATATGGTACTTTATGTGGAAAACCCAAAAGACTCCACCCCCAAACTGCTAGAACTCATACAGGAATTCAGTAAAGTGGCAGGATATAAAATCAATGCCCAGAAATACACCAACAATGGGACAGAAGAAAGAGAAATTAAGGAGTTGATCCCATTTACAATTGCACCCAAAACCGTAAGATACCCAGGAATAAATCTAACCAAAGAGGCAAAGCATCTGTACTCAGAAAACTATAGAATACTCATGAAAGAAATTGAGGAAGACAGAAAGAAATGTAAAAATGTTCCATGCTCATTGATTGGAAGAACAAATATTGTGAAAATGTCTATGCTACCTAGAGCAATCCACACATTTAATGCAATCCCTATCAAAATACCACCAACTTTTTTCAAAGAAATGGAATAAATAAGACTAAAATTTGTATGGAACCAGAAAAGACCACAAATAGCCAGAGAAATGTTGAAAAAGAAAACCAAAGCTGGTGGCATCAGAATTCTAGCCTTCAAGTCATATCACAAAGCTGTAATCATCAAGACAGTATGGTCCTGGCACAAAAACAGACACATAGATCAATGGAACAGAATAGAGAGCCCAGAAATGGACCCTCAACTCTATGGTCAACTAATCTTCAACAAAGCAAGAAAGAATGTCCAATGGAAAAAAGACAATCTCTTCAATAAATGGTGTTGGGAAAATTGGACAACCACATGCAGAAGAATGAAACTGGACCATTTCCTTTCACTACACACAAAAATAGACTCAAAATGGATGAATGACCTAAATGTGAGACTGGAATCCATCAAAATTCTTCAGGAGAACACAGGCAGCAACCTCTTTGACCTTAGCCACAGCAACTTCTTCCTAGAAACATCGCCAAAGGCAAGGGAAGCAAGGGCAAAAATGAACTATTGGGACTTCATCAAGATAAAAGGCTAAAATTAACAAGTCAGGAAATGACAGATGTTGGCGGGGCTGCAGAGAAAGGGAAACCCTCCTACACTGTTGGTGGGAATGGAAGCTGGTGCAGCCAGTCTGGAAAACAGTATGGGGGGATGGGTTAGCCTCGTGATGGGTATTAAAGAAGGCACATACTGAATGGAGCACTGGGTGTTATGCAACAATGAATCATGGAACACTACATCAAAAACTAATGATGTAATATATGGTGATAAGCATAACATAATTTAAAAAAAAGAAAAAAAAAAGAAAAAAGCTTTTGCCCAGCAAAGCATACAGGCATACAGTCAACAAAACCAAAACACAACCGACAGCATGGGAGAAGATATTTGCAGATGACATATCAGATAAAGGGCTAGTATCCAAAATCTATAAAGAACTTATCAAACTCAACACCTGAAGAACAAAGAATCCAATCAAGAAATTGGTAGAAGACATGAACAGACATTTCTACAAAGAAGACATCCAAATGGCACAGACATATGAAAAAGTGCTCAACATCACTCGGCATCAGGGAAATCCAAATCACAACCTCAATGAGATATCACCTCACGCCAGTCAGAATGGCTAAAATTAACAAGTCAGGAAACGACAGATGTTGGTGAGGATGTGGAGAAAGGGGAACCCTCTTACACTGTTGGTGGGAATGCAAGCTGGTGCAGCCACTCTGGAAACAGTTTGGAGGTTCCTCAGAAAGTTGAAAATGGAGCTAATGCATGACCCAGCAATTGCACTACTGGGTATATACCCCAAAGATACAAATGTAGTGATCCGAAGGGGCACATGCACCACAATGTTTATAGCAGAATGTCCACAATAGCCAAACTATGGAAAGAGCTGAGATTCCCTTCCATAAATGAATAAAAAAAGGAAATAAAGCCTTTAAATGACACACTGGACCATAAAAAATATGTAGTATATATATACAATGGAATACTATGCAGCCATCACAAAATACAAAATCTTGCCATTTGCAATGATGTGGTTGGAACTAGAAGGTGTTATGCTAAGCGAAATAAGTCAATCAGAGAAGGACAATTATCATATGGTCTCACTCATATGAAGAATTTGAGAAACAAGTCAGGATCAAGGAGAAGGGAGGGAAAAATGAAACAAGATGAAACTGGAGAGGGAGACAAACCATAAGAGACTCTTAACCTCAGGAAACAAACTGAGGGTTGCTGGAGTGGAGGGGAGTGATGGGGTGGCTGGGTTATGGACATTGGGGAGCGTATGTGCTGTGGTGAGCGCTGTGAATTGTGTAAGGCTGATGAATCACAGACCTGTACCCCTGAAACAAATATTACATTATATGTTAATAAAAAAAGTGCTTAGTGAAATAGTCAATTTACATTTAATTGTAAACTTCTTTTCTTGTGGATTGTTCTTGGACAAGCAACAGCTCACAGACCACATTTTGAGTAGCCTGATCTTAGTCAATTTCTGTATCTTCAGACATGGAACTTGCAGCCCAGAAAAACAAATGAGATTGAACTTATGTTTTATAACTATTTAGTTGTAGAGCTAATTTAGTACAGTTAGTAGATAACTTGAGTATAACCAAGTTAAGTGTTCTCTCAAATATATATTACATTTTATGGATGGATATTGCTGCTCACCAGAACTGATTTTTTAATATTACTGATTTATAAAACATATGTACAAATATAAAAATATACAAAATATAAAATTTGTTTCAAATATTCACTCAGATTGCCACTGTAGAAAATATTCTGGGTTATAAATATGTCCTGAAAGGTAAAAGGCAAAAATAAAGTAACTGCTGTGATAGGAATATTGGATGATAGGTGATTTTTTTCCCAAATTGATTTTTTTAAACTCAGTACTCTTATTTACTATATTTCTCTTAGAATATGCTATCTATGATATTTATAAACTTCAATAAATGTGCTTAGAGAGCTATATAAATAAGATTTTAATAATTTCTAAAAGTTAATTTGGTTCAGTTTTCTATATAAGTTTTAGTTCAATTCTTATAATTGTAAGCAAAAACTTTCCACATTTTTCAAAATCTTTTTTTTTTTTTTTTTTTTAGTTTAGGATTCATTCCATTGCCAAATTAATTTTTAATGTTGCTACATCAACTCTTTAATACTTTTTGGCATCAAGAATTTCTTCCTTCCTTTCTTTTCCTTTCTTTCTCTTTCTTTCTTTCTTTCTTTCTTTCTTTCTTTCTTTCTTTCTTTCTTTCTTTCTTTCTTTCTTTCTTTCTTTCTTTCTTTCTTTCTGCTTTATTGAGGTATAATTTACAGAATAAAATAATTCATTTAAGTGTACAGTTTAATGAGTTTTGGTAAATGGATGTTGTCAGGTAACCACCACTAAAATTAAATTTTGGCAATTTCCATCATTTTAGAAATGCTCTCTCATTCCACTCTGCAGTTAGTCTCCACCCATTCCAGGCTACTGTCTCTGTCACTATGATATTGCATTTTCTGGAATTTCATATAAATAGAATCATATGTTTTTCAGGATTTTTTCTATCTTCTTTCACTTGGTATCATGTTTTTGAGGTTGATTCATATTATTGCATTTAAATTTCCTTTTTATTGCTGAGTAGTATTCTACTGTTTGGGTATAGCATTTTTTTTTTTTTTAATTCACCAGCTTATGGACATTTAGTTTTTTTTTTTCATTTTTCTTGGGAAAATACCTAGGAGTAGAATTTCTGGGTCATATAATAAGTATGTTTAACTTTATAAGAATTTGACAAATTGTTTCTCTAAATGTCATACCATTTTACATTCCTGCCAGCAATATATGAGAGTTCTTTCTAAAAAAAATTACTTAAAGTTACTCAATTTAAAAAAATTAAAAACATGTTTATTCTTACCTATGGCATTCCTCATGACTTCAGGTCCTGGGTTTTATAATATCCTAAACAATACTATAATCGACAACTTTAGCAATACCTGCTTGATGAAACAAAAGAAAAGTGCATTTGGTTCTTCTGTTCCTCGGACTATCTTCCTGGTTCAGAAAGAAGGTTTTACTGCTCCTGGTCCTGCTGATTATCAGGTAATTTGTGAATACTAAAATAATATTCTTTATATCTAATACCAAGGCATAGGGCTTAAAAATTACATGTAGCATATATGCCTCATTATTTTAAGCCATACTATTATTATTATTTTTTTAAGATTTTACTTATTTATTTGAGAGAGAGAGAGAGATAGACCGAGAGAGAGCATGGGAAGGAGCACAGGCAGAGGGACAAGCAGACTCTGTCCTGAGTGCAGAGCCCAACATGAGGCTCAGTCTCATGACCCTGAGGTCAGGACCTGAGCTAAAACTAAGAGTCAGATGCTTAACCAAGTGAGCCACCCAGGCATTCCAAGCCATACTACTATTATAGAAATAATTTTATGTGGTAATTTATGGCATAAGAACAAACATTAATTTGGTTCTCAACTATGTTTGTAATTTCTTTTCGAAAGATGGATCTTATTTATTTCTTTGAGGATCTCATATTATTTCTTTAAATACATATCTTCATTTTGAAATTGCTCCACTAAAAAAAATAAAATAAAATTGCTCCACTATTTTCTGAGAGTAATTTAGGTCTCCTTTAAATGCTTTTTGTGGTTTTATAATTTTTGTGTAGAGGTCTTATACATCTTTATTAGATTTATTCCTTGGTATTTAGTATTTCATGTTTTTTAGTTCTAATGGTACCTTTTAAATATTTTCATTGTTTAGCTTTCTGCTATTGGAATAAAAAAATATAATAGTCTTTATTAAAGATTTGCTTTACCAATGATCCGTACTTCTTGCTAAATTAAATGATTAATTCTATTAATTTATTATTAGTTTTAAAAAAATTTCCTCAAGCACAATTATGCCACCTGTGAATGACAGTTTATATTTTTTTCTCCAGGTGTTTCATCTTTTATATATTTTTTTGCTTTACTAGACTTCTGTGTCTCAGAACAAATCTCAATAATATTCATAGGAATTAAAAAATATCCAGTATTCAAGAAGATAAAATTCACAGTGTGATATCCATTAAAAAAAAAATTAGTAGGTATGCAAGGAAGCAGGAAAATATAACCTAGAATCAGGAAAATAAAAACAATCAATAGAAAAAGCCCAGAAATTACAGAGATGATAGAATTAGTAGATAAAGACATTAAGCAGTTATTATAACTATATTCCACATGTTTAAGAAGTTAGGGGAAAGATTGAACATATTGAGTAGAGAAATGGCACAAATAAAAAGACACAAATTGAAGTTCTAGAGATAGCAAATATAATATTTTTAAAAAAGTACACTGTCATTAACAACAGATTAGAAAGTTCAGAAGAAAAGATTAGCGAACCCTAAGACACTGGTAGAAACTATCTGAAATGAAACAGTGAGAAAAAGGACAAAAATAGTGAATAAAGTATCAATGAACTCTAAGTCAATTTGAAGTGGCCTAATATGTGTGTTGTTAGCATCCTTGAAGGAAGAGAAAAAGTGCAGGGGCATAAAAAATATTTTAAGAAATAATGAAAATTTCCAAACTTTGATAAGAACTAAATACCCATTTATCCATGAAGCTCAACAAGACTGCAACACAAAAGATGTTAAAGAAACTATGCCAAGGCATATTATAAACAAATTGACTAGAATGGTTAAAAAAAATTCTTAAAAGCACAGAGGAAAAGGATACATAGCATTGAGGAACAAAGTTAAAAATGACAATATATTTCTTGTTGGAAATGATGTAAGTCAGAAGACAGCAGTGCAACATTTTTAAGTATTAAAAGAAAACAGTTGTCAACCTGTAATTCTATGATAGGCTAAAATATCTTTCAAAATGGAGAATAAAATGAAGACCTTTATATATATATAAAAGCTGAAATATTCATCCCTTAAAGACCTGCATTAAGAGAAATGTTAAAGGAAGTCTTCCAGGCAGAGGAAAATGTTACCAGATGGAATCTGGATCTATTTAAAGTAATACAGAGTATCAAAGATGATAACTATGTGGGTAGATAATAAAAGCTTTTGTTGGATTTCTCATTTTATTGAAAGCAGAATGTCGTACATGTTTTTGATTTACTGATAATTTACTTTCACAAAAGGTAGAGGAAGCTATGGGAGGAACTCATGTCTTAGCTTAATTTTGACTAAATAAAGGAGAACTAATGAAATAGAAGGGAAGAATCGTTTGCAAATAGTGATAATGTTATTTTACAGTTTAGAATTGTCAAAGAAGAGATTCTGGACATGGTTAGATATGTATAAGGAACTTAGATAATTCCTATTTCAAAATGATCAGCAGATAACAAGAAATGTCCTTAAGATCAGAGACTCTAACAGTGAAACTAACCTAAAAGTGTTGACAAGAAAATAACTCATGAGTAAAATTTTGAAAATGCAGTTTTGCTACACATTAAACTTTTTAGAAGATATTTTTAAAAGGACATTGTAATATATGTGTATGTATTTATTATTCTTTCTCCTACAGAATTTGAGAAAGTTTAAAAGAATGTACATATGGAAAAGTAAAAGTAGCTAACAATAACAATAAAAAAATATAGATGGAACAGATAGATATTTTATAGGTAGAATATAAATAGAAGTTAAACATTGGGGAAGCTTGAACATAGTTGTCAAATCATAAAAGAACATGTACAAAACAGTGGAAACATGGTATCTGTCCTATAGTAGACACTAAGGAAATTATAACTGAATAAATGAGTATGAGAGAGAAGCATAGAACTGTACTCCAGGAAGCTTAAAGAGAAGGAAAATTTATTGTAAAAAATACTACAGAAAATTAAAATTAGTTTGTGTAAGTTTGGTTTGACAAAAAAAAAGTAGCTAAAAAGAACTCTGTAGGGGTGGGGTAGATGAAATGGGGATAGTAGAGCCACTGAAATGCTGAATTGGATTTGTCTTTCCTATCAGAGAAAATTATTTTCAACCCAGAAAGTGGAACACACATGGTTTATAGGAAGTTGAATCCTAAGATGTTTATGGTGGTAATGTAAGAATACCCTAGTGCAATGAAGTTAAATTTACAAGTCATTTTTTCGCAGGGTGCTAATCTTCTCTGTGTTGTTCCAGTTTTAGTATATGTGCTGCCAAAGTTATCACTCTAGTGCTTTAAATTAGTTAAAAACTTCAGATATAGCTGAAATAGATCTCATTGTAATGAAAGAACAGCTGTAAATCATTATCTGTAATCTCTGGGAGTTGCTTAAGGTTTGTAGGCATAAAAGAAAAATGGAGTAAATAAAGGCTTTCCTTATTTAAACAAAAATTAAAATTTCACTGTGAGATTTTTATGAAACTCTTACAAAATATTTTATTTATATATATTCTAATGTAAAAACTATACCATTAAATTTACCATCTTAATCATGTTTAAGTGCTGATATAAGTATATTTGAAATGCATCACTCTCGCCACTATTGTTCAACAGTACTAGAAGTCCTAGCAACAGCAATCAGACAACAAAAGGAAAGAAAATATATTCAAATTGGCAAAGAAGTCAAACTCTCTTTTCGCAGATGACATGATACTTTATGTGGAAAACCCAAAAGACTCCACCCCCAAATTACTAGAACTCATACAGCAATTCAATAATGTGGCAGGATACAAAATCAATGCACAGAAATCAGTTGTTTTCTTATACACTATCAATGTAACTGTAGAAAGAGAAATTAGAAAATAGATTCCATTTACAATAGCACCAAAAACCATAAGATACCTCAGAATAAACCTAACTAAAGAGGTAAAGGATCTATACTCTAGGAACTACAGAACACTCATGAAAGAAATTGAAGAAGACACAAAAAGATGGAAAAACATTCCATGCTCATGCATTGGAAAAATAAACATTGTTAAAATGTCTGTGCTGCCCAGAGCAATCTATACTTTCAACACCATCCCAATGAAAATTCCAATGATATTTTTCAAAGTGCTGGAACAAACAATCCTAAAATTTGTATGGAATCAGAAAAGATCCCAAATCGCCAAGGAAATGTTGAAAAAGAAAAACAAAGCTGGGGGCATCACGTTGCCTGATTACAAGCTATATTACAAAGCAGTGATCACCAAGACAGCATGATATTGGAACAAAAACAGACACATAGACCAATGGAACAGAATAGAGAGCCCAGATAGAGACCCTCAACTCTGTGGTCAAATAATCTTTGACAAAGCAGGAAAAAATATACAATGAAAAAAAGACAGTCTCTTCAATAAATGGTGCTGGGAAAATTAGACAGCTATATACAGAAGAATTAAACTTGACCATTCTCTAACACCATACACAAAGATAAACTCAAAATGGATGATAGACCTCAATGTGAAACAGGAATCCATCAAAATCCTGGAAGAGAACATAGGCAGTAACCTCTTTGACATCGGCCACAGCAACTTCTTTCATGATACATCTCCAAAAGCTAGTGAAACAAAAGCAAAAATGAACTTTTGGGACTTCATCAAGATAAGAAGCTTCTGCACAGCAAAGGAAACAGTCAACAAAACAAAGAGGCAACCCACAGAATGAGAGAAGATATTTGCAAATGACACTACAGATAAAGGGCTGGTATCCACGATCTATAAAGAACTTCTTAAACTCAACACCCAAAAAACAAATAATCAAGTCAAAAAATGGGCAGAAGACATGAACAGACAGTTCTCTGAAGAAGATATACAAATGACTAACAGAGACATGGAAAAATGTTCATCATCATTAGCCATCAGGGAAATCCAAATCAAAACCACATTGAGATAACACCTTATACCTGTTGGAATGGCAAAAATGACAAGGCAAGAAACATTAAATGTTGGAGAGGTTGTGGAGAAAGGGGAACCCTCTTACACTGTTGGTGGGAATGCAAATTGGTACAGCCACTTTGGAAAACAGTGTGAAGGTGCCTCAAAAAATTAAATATAGAACTACCCTATGACCCAGCAATTGCACTACTGGGTATTTACCCCAAAGACACAGATATAGTGAAAAGAAGGGCCATATGCACCCCAATGTTCATAGCAGCAATGTCCACAATAGCCAAAT